GGGTGTTTTTTTTTTTTAATTTTTTTTTTTTTTTTTTTTTTTTTCGCGGTACGCGGGCCTCTCACTGTTGTCGCCTCTCCTGTTGTGTAGCACAGGCTCCGGATGCGCAGGCTCAGTGGCCATGGCTCACTGGCCCAGCTGCTCCGTGGCATGTGGAATCTTCCCGGACTGGGGCGTCCCCTGCATCGGCAGGCGGACTCTCAACCACTGCGCCACAAGGGAAGCCCTAGGATGGAAAAGTTTTAAAACTTTTCATCCCTCAGAATATGGTCACTCCCACCATCTCCCCACAAGCTTCGTTTCCAAGCTATCTGTAAAGTTAAAAGTTGTCTGCATGTTAGAAAGCATTGGAGGTGCTCTGTTGTACGTCCAGAGAATTATGTTCAGTGCCTCCCAGGTATCCCTACCGTGGAATCGAGAGCTAGTGAAGGTGCCCCCATATCTTGAATGAGGAATCACCCGAGTGCTTCCAGATAAGATGGACCACAGCAGGGTGGTGCCCCCATGTCTTGAATGAGGAATCACCCGAGTGCTTCCAGATAAGATGGACCACAGCAGGGCCCAGTCTGCAGGGTGGGGCCAGCACCTCTGCTGTGTTGGAGTGAGGCATTCATGCCGGTCAGGGTCGGGGCGCATGAGCAGGGGGCTTACCCACACTGTTGTACCTTTGACCAGGTGCCACTGGGATTGAAGATCGCCTGCAGGATGGAGTCCCTGAAACCATTGCTAAATTGCGTCAAGCAGGCCTGCAGATTTGGGTTCTCACCGGTGACAAACAGGAAACAGCCATTAACATCGCTTACGCCTGCAAACTGCTGGACCACGACGAGGAAGTCATCACCCTGAACGCCGAATCCCAGGTGGGTGGATGTCGGGGAGACCCTCTCTGCCTGGGCAGCCTCACACCCCACCAGCCCCAGAGCAGAGCAGGAAAGAATGCCTTCCATTTCTGGCAGCCACTGTGAGGCGGGCCTTTGCCCTCTGCTCTGTTTGCACCTGTTGTGTTTCTGGCACTCAGAACATGCTTGTCATAGTCTTGGAAGATGTGGGATTTGCTGGGATTTCTTAGGAACGCGCATCTGGGCTTTATAATGCAAAGTTCAACCTGCTTTTTCCTGAGATACTTTCCAGCCAGCAGTATCAGAGAGTGTTTTTCATGAGGTCACATGGAGCCAGGGCAGCAGTCCATTCTGCGTTGGTGTCCTCAGGATGGCATGTGTTGTCTCACGGATGCCCCAGTGGCACGTGGGTTTTCATTTGTCACATCTATTGACTGAAATCCCCATGTGTGGAGGGTGGATCTCTTCCTATAGGCCCTGGCTGGGGCTCTGATTCCTCGAGTGACCGACTCTACTTTGGAACATCTCCTCCAGCAGATGACAAAGTCTAACTTTTATGGATTGTGCTCTAGGTGTCACACTTAAGATGTGCCTAATCACAAGGATTTCTCCTTTATTTTCTTCTAAAACTTTTATAGTTTAGCATCTCAGCTTTAAACACAATCTTTTTTTGTGTAGAATTTTGTCTAAGGTGTGAGGTTTACATCAAACTGCATTTTTCTGCATTATTCAGGCACCGTTTGTGGACAGTCTTTCTTCCACTAAATTGTCTTTACACCTTTGTTGAAAATCAATTGGTCCTATTTGTGTGGGTCTATTTCTAGACTTTCTGTTCTGTTCCATTGATCTGTGTGTCTGTCCCTTCACCAATACCATGCTGTCCTGTGGGTTTTTAAATGTCTTAAAATAGGCAGTGTTTTGTTTAAAACTCCAAGTGTTTGGAGTTTTCCTATTTTCTTTCTGTTACTGATTTCTATTTGAAACCTATTTTATTGATTTCTATCCATTATTGTCATAGAATATGCTTTTTATGATTTTAATTCTTAAATATTAATTTTTTTAATGACCCAAGGTATGGTCTATCTTGGTGAATGTTCATATGCATATGAAAAGAATGTGTGTTCTGCCGTGTTGTTGGCTGGTATATCAATTAGGTCCAGTTGAGAGATGGTATGGTTCAATTTTTCTATAATAGGGGTCAGCAAACTGTGGCCTACAGGTCAAATCCAACCTACCACCTGCTTCTGTAGAGTTTTATTTGAACACAGCCTTCCCCATGTTTTTATATACAATCTTTGGCTGTTTTCATGCTATAATGGCAGTTTTGAGTAGTTGTCACAGAGACTGAATGATCTGAAAAGCCTGAAATAATTTACTCTGGCCCCAAATAGGTACTCCAGCTATTTTGATTTCTGTTTGCATGGCATACCTTGTTTGATCCTTTAGTTTTTAATCTACCTGTAGCATTACATTTGAAATGAGGTGAGGTTTTTTGTTTGTTTATGGCTTTTTTGGTAGATAGGTCATGTTTTCATATATTCAGACAGTCCCTTTCAATTGGTATGCTTAGATCATTTACATTTATTATAATTATCAATATGTTTGGATTCAAGTCTATTATCTTTTGTTTTCTTATTATTCTCTGTTTTTTATTCCTCCATTCCTTTTTCTACCTTCTTTTGGGTTATTTGAACATTTTTTAGTATTTAATTTTATTTTGTCTCTTATGTTTCGACATCACTTAGCTTTTTTAGTGTATTTTCTAGGATTACACTATGCATACTTAAGTTGTCACAGTCTACTTAGAATCAGTGGGATGAAGAAATCTTACCACTCCACGTGCCCCTTACTCTTCCCCCTAACGTTGAAAGTGTCATATATTACAACTGCATAAATTGAAATCCTCATCAGATATATTTTTTGCTTTCAATCTAAAAGCATATTTTAAAGAAATCAAGAGGAAAAGAATGGTCCATTATATTTAGTTAAAATAAATTATATTTACATAAATTATATTTACAACTTCTGTTGCTCTTCTTCCATTTCTGTTGTTTCAGGTTTCCTTGTGGCACAATTTCCCTTCTCTAGGAAGAACTTCCTTTATCTATTTTTTAGAGTAGGTCCACTGGTGGCAAATGCTCTTGCTTTTCTTCATCAGAGAATGTCTTTATTTTACTGTGGTACCTAGTGAGAAATCAACAGTCATTTGAATCATTATTACACCATAGCTAATGAATCATTTATATCTGGCTGCTTTCCAATGTTTTTCTTTGTCTGTAATTTTAAGTAGTTTCATTACGATGTGTTTGGGCATGGATTTCTTTTGATTTATAATCTGGGACTTGCTAAGATTCTTTAATCTGTGGGGTTATGTCTTTCACCAGATTTGGTAAGTTTTCAGCCATTATTTCATCAGATACTTTTCTGCACTGCACTTTCCCCTCTTCTTCTGTAAGACTGAGGACATGAATATTGGGTCTTTTGTTTTTTTCTCAAGGGTCCCACAGGTGCTCTTCAGTTTTCAATTTTTTTTTCTTGTTCAAATTGGATAATTTCTCTTGATCTGTCTTTGAGGTCACTGACTTTTTCTTCTGTTATCTCCATTCTTCTATTGAGCCCATTTAGTGGTTTTTTAAAAATAAACTTTTTATATAGAATGGTTTTAAATTTACAAAAAAATTGTGAAGATAGTACTGTTTCACCTATACATAATTTTGCCTATTATTAACATCTTTACAATTTTTAATATGGTATTGATATACAGTTACTTACTAAAATCTGTGCTATATTCAGATTGCCTTAATTTTTACCTAATGTCCTTTTTGTTTTCCAGAATCTCATTGAGGACCCACATTACATTTTCTTTAAATTAATTTATTTAATTGGCTGCTTCGGGTCTTAGTTGCAGCACACAGGCTCTCCATTGCAGCACACAGGCTTCTCTCTGGTTGTGGTGCTCGGGCTCTAGAATGTGTGGGCTCAGTAGTTGTGGCACGCAGGCTCTCTAGTTGTGGCGCGTGGGCTGTAGAGCGCACGGGCCAGTAGTTGTGGTGCACAGGCTTAGTTGCCCCACGGCATGTGGGATGTTAGTTCTCTGACCACGGATCGAACCCACGTCCCCTGCATTGGAAGGAGGATTCTTAACCACTGGACCACCACCAGGGTAGTCCCCAGGATCCACATTACATTTAGTCGTCATGTCTCCTTAGGCTCTTACTGGCTATAACAGTTTCTCAAACTTTCTTCATTTTTGATGACCTTGACAGTTTTGAGGATAGATACATTCAGGTGTTTCGTAGAATGTCTTTATATGGGAATTTGTCTGATATCTTTCTCATGATTAAAGTTATGAGTTTTGGGGAAGAAGACCACAGACAAAGGGCCATTTTCATCATTTCATCACATCATATCAAGAGTACATTCTATCAACATGACGTATCACTGTGGATGTTAATTTTTTCAGGTTTCTCCCCCATAAACTAATTCTCACACTGTCCTCTCTGGAAGGAAGTCACTGTGCACAGCTCACACTTAGAGAGTGTGGGGGTTATAATCCCCCTCCTTGAACACAGAGAAATTATGTAAATTATTTATGTAATCCAGTGATGGACACATAAGTGGAATCCAGTGAGCTTTTCATTTTCGTTAATGTGTTTTGGGTGTTCTAAAATTTTTATTTGATTCCTCTTTATATCTTCTGTTTTTTGCTGAGACTTCCTTTCTATTCATTTCTAGAATTTTTTCTTACTTCTTGGAACACTTTTATAATGGCTGCTTCAGAGTCATTGTCAGGTAATTCCAGTATGTGTGTCATCTTGACATTGGCTTCTGTTGATTGTCTTTTACCACAGGCACTGAGAATTTCCTAGCTCTTTATATGCTGATAAATTTGGAGTTATGTTGTGGGTATTTTGAATGGCACTCTGGTCATTTTAAATTTGGAGAATGTGGATTTTTTTAAGGCAGGATATCAGTCCTCTTGGGTGCAGGCTGCAGGCTCTGAACAGCCTTGGGGTGTTGATTTCAATGTCAGTCTTGTTTGGCCTTTGCCAAGCTGTTAGAATCTGTCTCACATTTTTGCCAAGCTACCCTCTCCTGACAATTTTTCCGGTACTTTGTGATTCTCTGGGACTCCCTGTGGCATGAAAGCTGGGGTTTGAGTTACCTTGATCTGCTTTGTACTTCTGCACCAACTTCCAGGGCCAAGTGGTGGCAGGACAGACAGAAAGGAGGGCAGCTGTTGCCTTGCTGTCCTGGGGCCACAGATGCTCTGATAGGAAGGAAGGACCACCTCCCGCAGAGTCCCCAGCAACAGATGGCTGTGCTACCACTGTTGTTCCTACTGCTGCCCACAGAACAAAATTGCCTGGGGCTGGGTTCAAGAGAATAGAGGAAAAAATAAATAAAAATGGGGTTTCCTCCATTTTCTCTAAGCATTGGAAGTTCTCTTTTCCACTCCTCAAGCCAGAAGTAGAGGGCTTCTAGAGCTGGAACTTTCTCTGTCCCTGCCTCAGTGCCTACGTCCAGCTTCCGTTACACCTGGGGTCCAGGTGAGGGCCTGCCAGAGTGACAGTGGAAACCTTGCAGTTCAGTGTGTTTAGAATGCCAGTCTTCTTCCACAGCCTGACAGCTGCTGTTTACTCTGAGTACTCAAAGTGGCTCTATGAATCTGTCCAGGTGCCACAGCTGCACCTGTAGGGGAGGCAGGGTGTGCTTGCTCCATCCTACCTTGTCAGTGCCTTGTGCTAGGACCAGGGCATCCATGGTATTCCTGCAATGAGGTCCCGCATTCTCTGCAAGGCCTTCCCAGTCACCACCACTCCCAGCCCCGCCTGGAAGCAAGTCTGCCCCTCCCTGTATCCAGGAGCATTTTGCACATGCTGGTCAGTGACTTGCTGTGGTCATGGGTGTGTGTGTGTGTCCCCGGCTGCCTGCCCATCACTCAGGGCCAACAGCTGCGTCTTCTTGGTCTTCTTTTCTCCAGTCTCACTCACTTTCCTCGATATCAAAGGTCCTCAGTTAAGTGCTTGTTGGACACACCTGGATTCCCACAGTGCATTGTAGGAAGCTGCTCACTAACCTGTGGGCTACTGTCCATCCATGGAGGACCAGGAACCACTTGAGTTCCCTGCAGTGTGTTCGTTCTTGGGAACACTTTTCCCTCCTATGCCTCTGTCTCCTGACCTTGCAGTTTCCCCAGGAAGTTTCCCTATTCTTTCTGGAACTCAGATACAGCTTTGGAAGGGCACTGCCAATTCAAAGCCTCAGTAATTAGGCTTTTTTTTTTAACTTTATTTTCCTGAGCTTAGGGAGACACTGATTACTCTTCTTTCAGAGCTAATCACAACAGAAGCTTTTGTTGGTACCTCACTAGGAAACAAGAAGGGCTGAGTAAGGGCCTCTGAGGACCATGAGGAAGTGCCTGGAAAGCTCCCATAGCCTAACTAGCCAGCAGCTCAGCCAGTCTGGCCAGGCCTCCCAAAGTGAAAGTGCTTTGTCCTAACCTCTACACAGTATAATGGAATCAAGTAGAGTCTTATAGGAACCCTAAACCAACTCAAATCCTTTCATGTTGAAAGTCATCCACTTCTACTGACTTCCCAGGCTCAGGAGGGCCACCTCCTGGGCAGAGCCTGCAGCCTGGGTCCCTGGAGATTCTCAGATGTGTTGTGCGGGTAGCCTGGTCTGTGATGCGGCCGAGTGACCTGCACCATCCTTTTGTGTCCATTTCAGGAGGCGTGCGCAGCCCTGCTGGACCAGTGCCTACACTATGTGCAGTCCAGGAGCCCCCACAGTGCCGCCGACAAGACCGCTGGCGGCATGAGCGTGGGCTTCTCCCCCCTCTGCCCACCCTCTGCAGCTGCCTTGTCTGGCCCTAGCCCCAGCCTTGTGATCGATGGGAGAAGTCTGGCCTATGCCCTCGAGAAAAACCTGGAGGACAAATTCCTCTTCCTTGCTAAGCAGTGCCGGTCTGTCCTTTGCTGTCGCTCGACTCCCCTGCAGAAGAGCATGGTGGTGAAGCTGGTCAGGAGCAAGCTCAAGGCCATGACTCTGGCCATAGGCAAGTATCCAGGCCGAACAGCCCCCACCTCTGCAGCTGCTTCCTGTCAAAGCATCTTGAATTTCCTGCCCCTTCTACGCTATGCCATAGGATGGGAAAACGCTTCCTTGCTCTTTTTTCTATTTATAAAATCACACCTGGTACAATGAAACAGGCAGCCTGTTCCAAATATAAAGCTTGGATTTGAAAGCCACAAAATGTACTAGCAACAGATATAGCTACATATTAGGAAGTCAGTAATTCAATGGTGGTTGAAGAAGATGGAGCTTATTACTGTCTCCTGGGCGACAGAAGACTACTGTCCAGCAGCCTCGGCCACAGTGGAGCCCAGCACACTAAGCACGACCCCAGGCCAACTTAGGAAGAAGGCCCTTTGCAGGTGCTTCTGATGGCCGTGAGCCGCCTGGAGTCCAAGGCTTCATCATGCTGCACGACCCAGGGACTCCATGGTGATCAGAATTCCCATCGCTTCTTGTCTGCTGAACTTTGTTTCAAGACAAGCATCTACCCTCCTAAGGTCTGAATAGTTGCTAAATTTTGCGTCATTTCCTTAAGGACTGTGCATCTAATGGTGGTTTTTCCTTGCAGACTGTTGGTCTGGAGAGCCTTCTCGGCTCCTCTTCTGTGCTGCACGGTGCTCACCTGTCTCCCTCAGGGGAGTGTCCCCACGTCTGATACAGGTCCAGCCTCCAGTGAGGTTCAGGGGCTTGGCAGCGCCACCTGCTGGTGAGGGGTGGGAGAGACTGCAGGTAGCCCAGGAAAAGAGATGATATGATCCCCAGGATCCCCCGATATCAAACAGTTTATTTTCCCTGCATATAGAATGCACACTGGGGTGAGAGTTGGCTCTGAAATAAAGCATCCTCATCAATCAGTAATAGTTAACTGTATTTTCTACAAAAGGTCTGTGACAGCCCCTCCTTGATGACATAGGGATTGCCGCCCTGTCCTACAGGACACCTCATCAGGATAGTTGAGGCTGGTGTTGAACCCAGTCCTTGGGGGATGGCCTTAGCATGGTCGTCATGGAGACGGCCCTGCACATCCCCAGGGCCATGGTATCTGCTAAGGGGAGTGAGTGTGTGTTCATCTGTGGCCCCTTGGTTCAGGCTGAGATAAGACAGGCAGCTCTTCTGTGGCCCCTCCTCAGGGAGGCTGTCTCAGGACCACCTTTGCCCTCATGTGCCTGGAGGGGCCTTTAGGGCTCTCTGAGCAAGTGTTGGAGGGAGAAGCTGAGGAGTCTGCAGGCTGGGTCTGCACCCTTACCGATAACTTTGCTCCTGTGTAACATGAGGACAGTGCCCCCCAGTGGGGCTGGTGTAAGACCTGAATGATAAAGCATATTTTCACTGCCTGGTCAGTGCCTGCTCAGCCACTGAATCACTGATGTGTGGCATTCATTTAGGAAAACGGAGGTAGAGCTTGGCTGGTTAGAAAGAAAAGAGAAAAACAAAATAGAAACTCAAAAGGGAAAGGGAAAGTAAGGGCCAATCAACTTTAGTTCATTTCTTTCTATGAATTAAAGCATGGATGTGACCTAGTCCTGGGCATCCAGTGGTTACTAATCCAGAGAACATCATTGTCTATGTATCTCATTTTGAATGGGACGTTCTGGAAAAAACTGCAGAGGTTATTGCTTCACAGAATTTCAATTTGACAAATATTGACTCATCACCCATGTGTTGGGTCCAGTGCAATAAAGAACAATCACAAGGGAGAGATGTCCTATAGCCATGGTCTGAGATACTCTGACTTTATGTATCTACACTTTTTGCATATTTGAAATTTGGGAGGTACTCAGTGATGTGGGCCCTTCTGCTGCCTTGTTCCAAGAACGGTCACTATCACTGAATGACAATGACTTTAAGTCTCTGCTTGCCTTTCCCTAAAGGTGTCCAGAGCTCTGACCTATACCCTGTATTCCTACACATTTTCTGTGACTGAATAAGCAGACGGTCTCCTTTATCACATGCTCAAAGAGCCCAAGGGTGGGCATAGTAGCTAATAAGTTAGCTGGACACTGGTGTACAAAAAGAGCTCCACAGTTTGTTTGGGCAGAGTTTAACCTCCTTTGTTGAGTTTAGAAAACTACTCACCTGAGTATGAATTGGAGTAGCCTTGACTGACATGTGACAAAGTCTGGAGTGGTTCAGGAAACAGCAATGAAGGTGGTGGTCATATCTCTCCCTGTGCTGGATGCCACGTGAAGGGCTCTATTGGTGTATGAGCCAGTAGCTTGGAACGTGTACTAACTGGAAAGGGACACGCTGGCCACCGCTTTTGGAAATACCTCCTGGTGTGGCTGGTGGGTGCAAGCCTCCCACTAGGCTCTTTCTGGCTGCATAACTTGGCTCCCCCGAGGCAGACTCTGCACTGCCTCTTCCTCACTCCTCCCCAGGACCCTTCACAGGACCCAGCTCACGGAGAACCCATGAAGATCCATCAAGCTGATTTGATTCTGTGCATCTCAACTCAAATGATTCTTCCTGCCCGTGCTGTTTCTAGGAGATGGAGCCAATGACGTCAGCATGATCCAGGTGGCAGATGTGGGCGTGGGACTCTCAGGCCAGGAGGGCATGCAGGTAAAGACCAAAGGGGCTGTCCTGGGTGACCAAGGCGTCCTCACACTGTGAGCTGTGCTGGCCTTCTTGTGGGCTCTGTGCTGCAGAGCTAAAGGGTTGGACTTCAGTATGACTGGTGCTCTCCTTCTGCTAAGCCAGTGGTAAGAGACCAGCTCTTCATTTTTATGAAGCCATGTGCAGTGAATGTGTCTATTAGTGTATTTCTGTGAAAAGGTGGGATGAAGCGAGGCATGGTGAGTCATCGCCTTTCTCTGGCTGTCAGTGGTTCGTCCCTCAAAGGCATTTTTTACTGCTCCTGAACATTAGTGATACCATTTGAAGAATGGACTTTGCTGTAGGACTGTTGTATCCTGGTGTCACTATAAAGATGGAGTGCAGCCATCCTTGCTCATGTGAAAATTTATTTCTGCATTTTTCATTTGCCACTGTGTTGGTTCCTGACATGTGATCCAGACGATGAACAAATGAGTTCATTAAAAATGTACTTCTTGGGCTTCCCTGGTGGCGCAGTGGTTGAGAGTCCGCCTGCCGATGCAGGGGACACGGGTTCGGGCCCCGGTCCTGGAGGATCCCACATGCCGCGGAGCGGCTGGGCCTGTGAGCCATGGCCGCTGAGCCTGCGTGTCCGGAGCCTGTGCTCCACAACGGGAGAGGCCACAACAGTGAGAGGCCTGTGTGCC